ATCACCATCCATGGCCCTTAAATATCTAAAGGCATGGAATGATGAAGTGCAATGTCTTTTAGGATATTTGGTCACCCCTATATATAGCTCTGAAGAAACTCAACATTGGATGAATGGCGAAACCGAGGCAGGTGGATCACCTGTGGTCACGGGTTCCAGATCAGCCTGGCCAACATTGTGAAATCCCATCTCTACTGAAAATACAAAAATTATCTGGGTATGGTGGTGTTCACATGTACTCCCAGCTACTCAGGAAGCTGAGGTAGGAGAATCACTTGAACCCAGGAGGCAGATGTTGCAGTGAGCCAAGGTCATGCCACTGTACTTCAGCCTAGGAGACAGAGCAAGACTCCATCTCAAAAAAACGACCAAGCAACCAACAAAACAAACAAACAAAAAAATTGGAAGAGTATCCTCAAACTTTTCACTAGGCATGCCCACCACTCTATTTTATTAATAGATGAAGATCCTGTTGGGGGAAAATTTGCTAATTATCTGCCTGGCCATTAAGAAAGTAGCTCCATACATTTTTGGGGGAGCACCCTTTTGCTTTGATGAGATGTTTCTTCCCATGGTTAGAAATCCTTCTTTAGCCTCAGGTAACATTGCTGATAAAAACTGGGCATGGTGGCTCTGGCCTATAATCCTAGTGATTCAGAGGCTGAGGTGGAAGGATCATTTAAACCCAGGAGTTCCAGGCTGCAGTGAGCTATGATGGCAACACTGCACTCCAGCCTGGGTGACAGAGCCACTCCATCTCTCTGAAAGAAAAATAAAGAGTCCAGGTTTGGTGGCCTATGCTCGTAATCCCAGCACTTTGAGAGGCTCGGGTGGGAGGATTGCTTGAGCTCAGGAATTTGGGACCATCCTGAGCAAGATAGCGAGACCCTATCTCTTAACAAACAAACAAAACAAACAAACAAACACAAACCAAAATTAGCTAGGCATAGTGGTGCACGTCTGTAGTCCCAGTTATTTGGGAGGTTGAAGTGGGAGGATTGTTTGAGCAAGGGAGGTTGAGACTGCCATGAGCCGAGATTGCACCACTGCAATCTAGCCTGGGCAACATAGCAAGACCGTGTCTTAAAAAAAAAAGAAAGAAAGAAAGAAAGAAAAACAAAAGAAAGAAAGAAAGAAATATTGCTGATGAAACTGTAGCCTCTTTCACAGCTCAACAAAAGGCTATTTATTCACGGGCTAAGGTTGTACTAGATAATTGCATCACTTTAGATGATATATATTTTCAAAGACACTATTAGCCTTATTTAAAAATGGGTAGAATCTGGGCGCGGTAGCTCACGCCTGTAATCCCAGCACTTTGGGCAGCCGAGGTGGGTGGATCACCTGAGGTCAGGAGTTTGAGACCAGCCTGGCCAACACAGTGAAACCCAGTCTCTACTAAAAATACAAAAATTAGCTGGGCACAGTGGCATGTGCCTGAAGTCCTAGCAACTTGAGAGGCTGTGGCAGGAGAATCGCTTGAACCCAGGAGGCAGAGGTTGCAGTGAGCCAAGATCATGCCACTGCACCCCAGCCTGGGAGACAGAGAAAGAGTCTGTCTCAAACAAAACAAAACAAAACAAAACAAAACAAAACAAAACAAAATGGGTAGATACAGCAGCACTTACAAGAGTTCATAAAAGGAATGTACATTGTCAACTGATAGTGTGGAGAGAGCAGCCCCCTGCCCACCTGGTTGTGATCTCTGCACAACGCTTGCCCACAACCTCCTCTTCCACTTAATACAACACAGCCCAGAACACACAAGGGGAGAGCCGCAGCCACAGCAGCCTCCGCAGCCGGCTTTAGATGATAGATTTAGCTGATCAGGGAGGTGGATGTGTGCTGGTTACAACGTCTTGTTGCGTATCCATATATAAATACTTTCCATGAAGTAGAACTTCATCTAGAAAAAAATTAGAAGTCATTTGGCTACAAGAAATCATGAAAGAAGAACTGGGATGTGATGTTTTCCCTGATGTTTTTAGTTGGCTCCCTAATGGAATAGGAATAGGTTCCCTTACTATTCTGGCATACAGATTCTCTTTGTGAATCTCATTCTTGTGTGCATTATATGTGCTCTATTCAAATTATTAATGTTATATATTTCCTGTTTTACTTCTGAGAAAAGTGATTTTATGGTATCTGAAGACTAGAGATGATTCAACAAGTGACAGCTGTAGACTTAACTGAGGTCTCTCTCTCATTTCCTCCCCCGCCCTCAGCCTGGGAAAGATCATCTGGGAATGAGCCTTCCTGGCAAAGAGGGACGCCTTGGCTGAGCTTTTGATCATCAGTGCTTTCAAGAAGAAAGATTTTTAAAAGAATTTTTATCTGAGGAATGTGAGCCACTTCACATGATCAGAGAGACATTAAATCAAGACAGCAACCACTTTCTTCTTCCTTCCTTTTGAGCTATGTATTCATCTGTTGGAACTGCTTGCTATCACCCCAGGTAGCTGTAAATTAATCTAATAATGCCACACCAAACACTATATTCCACGCCGTATAACAACGGATAGCCAAGCTCTCATCAATGCTATTTCTGAAAACCAATGAGAATTCCGGACAGGCACCTTTCTATCAGCCCATCGTGCATCCTCCCTGTTGACCTTTAAAAACCTGCTTGTGACAAAGGCCAAAGGGAGCTCAGATCCAAGATTCTTTGGGTGTGAGTCTTCCAGGCAGCTGTCTTCATGTTGGCTCAAGTTAACTCTAAATTATATTCTGTGCTTCAGCCTCTTTCTTTTAGGTCAACATGTTCAGCAACAGTAGAATAAATAAATAAGTTGGTCTATATTCATACAAAGGAATACACCCAGAAACAAATAACCACATGAATAACATGAACAATTCTTAGATGTAAGACTGAGTGAAAGAAGTCAAACCTATCTATGCCTCTGCTCCTGAGACCAACTTTGCAAAAATTACAACTGGGACAATTATCACAGCGAAAGAGATCCGACCTAACTGATTCCATCTTGCTTCCAACGTCCAAGCTGTCCTTGTTCAATCCTGGGCACAGGCCAAAATAACTTTGAGAGGAACTTAGTTTATGGTTTAGCCGTGAAACAAAGATGATAACAGCCCTTTCCCAAAACAAATCCCCTTCCTACCCAGGGACTAGACTGCCTTTGCAGGACTAACAAATTAGCCACAAAATTAGAAATGATGGTTTAGGAGTCATGCAGCCTCCAGGTTACAAGATTCTAAACCTCCCCAAATTATTCCTGGGGATCAAATCACTATTGTAAAACATAAGATCAGTGTGTGAGATATTTTGCAGACCCCACACTCAATGCATCAGCTGGCACCACCCAGATGGATAAACTAGCTCATCTGACCTTGTGGCCCCCACCTAGGAACTGACCCAGCTCAAGAAGATGCTTTAGCTCCCTCTGAGTTCATCTCCGACCTGACCAATCAGACTCCCAACTCACTGGCCCCCACCCACCAAATTATCCTTAAAAACTCTGGTCCCAGAATGCTCGGGAAGACTGATTTGAGTAATGATAAAACTGGTCTCCCACACAGCCGGCTCTGGATGAGTAACTTTCTTTATTGCAATTCCCCTGTCTAGATAAATTGGTTCTGTCTAGGCAGCAGGCAACGTGAACCCATTGGGCAGTTATACTCCCCCAAAACCCACTACATACTTTATGATTCGATTTATATGAAAGTAAAGGACAGGAAAAACTGGTCTGATAGATTTGGAGTCTATGGAGTATTGTCCGAGTTTGGGGTTGTATTCTACAGATTGAACGTAATCAGTCAAGCACCTCAAATAAAATTTCCCCTCAATTTTTTTTTCCTCCAAATTTGGACCACTTTGTTTCTGTTTTTGCAGAATATAAAGTGCTAACATGAGGTAAGTGTTAAGGTCTAGAGAAGGCTGTGGAAGAGATGACACACTCCAGCACCATGCCTGAGTGTCCAGTGTGCTCTGCTGGCAGCATATCTGTACATTGCTGTATTTGAAAACACCCTACAAGATTCATGAAATTGGACCACCGTCTTTATAACAGTGCTAGTGGTAACACAAGAAAGGATGGCTGGTTTGCAGTCATCTGAGCAGCCTCTCTAGTTTCATAGATATGGTTTCTCTCTGATATTGAACAGCTTCCAATTTCAAGTAGAATGCTACATCACAAGAATAACGATGTGAAGAGAACCAGTTTCTTGTGTAATCCTACATGTTTTAGTCTGCGCATTTCAAGCCATTGTTTGAAGAACCGTGGACAGGCTCCAACGGTCTGCCAAAGAGGTCCTCGGCAACACAGGCTAAGAACCAGCTTCTGGGCAGGCAGTGATGGCTCACACCTGTAATCCCAGCACTTTGGGAGGCCGAGGCCGGCGGATCACCTGAGGTTAGGAGTTCGAGATCATCCTGACCAACATGGTGAAACCCCGTCTCTACTAAAAACACAAAAATTAGCAGGGCTTGGTGGCGTGCTCCTGTAATCCCAGCAACGCAGAAGCCTGAGGCAGGAGAATCGCTTCAACTCGGGAGGCGGAGGTTGCAGTGAGCAGAGACCATGCGACTGCATTCCAGCCTGGGCGACAGAGCGAGACTCCGGCTCAAAACAAAAAACTACAACAGAAACACCCGCTTCTTTGGAAAGATCAGGGGCGGAGAAGGGAGAGAAAGGAAGGAGAGGCAGAGGTCACTGCCCCCGCAGGCTCTGGCAGCAAGTTGTTCGGCTGAGTGGCGGAAGATGGGGTGGAAAAGCAGACTAGGACGGGAAAGACACTGTTGGTGACATCACGGAGAGGGAGACTTCTATGTAGATGAGGCAGCGCAGGGGCTGCCGCTTCGCCACCGGCTGCTTCGCCACGAAGGAGTTCCCGTGCTGTGGGAGCGAGTCCAGGACCGCTAGTCGGACCTGAGAGTACCAGCTGTGTGTCAGGGCTAGTAGGGCTCGGGGGTGCGCGTGGCAAGTGACCGTGCGTGTAAAGGGTGAGGCGTGTGGGGCCGTGGCAGGGCGGCGGTGTGTAAACTCATACTTACCTGGCAGAGAAAATAACGTTCTGAAGGCGGTTTTGCCAGAACGGGACTTTTCCATTGCACTCCCCACATGCTGATCCTCGCGTTTTCTCCAAATGTGACAAATTCGACTGCATAGCTCGTGGTAGTAGGGGACTAAGTTAGTGCTTTCCGCTGAACTCTTGTAGTGCAAAAAGTGAGCAGAGAAAGTACCATGTTACCGTCCTGTCCGCCGTTGTCGTGAGCTTGTTTAACACAAGCTAAGTGGCTGCAGGATACTTCTCTTCCCTTTCTACGTGGGGCTCCTTTTTGCAGATATTGCTTCATTGTCTGCAGTCTCTTGGGTTCTAACGCTCTGTGAAAACCTTCGTGTTTCTTAGTAGCCCCCAGAGTCACCCTTCACACAGCCTCTGCTTCTAACCGCAGCCCCCACAGGAGTTTGTGGGATTTCTGTGCTGGCGGGGAACGTGTTCTCACCTCATAGAGCCAGGTAGAAACTCTACGCAGTCGCGTGCTGTTCTCTGGGATGAAAGCAGGGCCTTTGGTGCTGTTCTTTGGGATGAAAGCAGTGACCCCGTTCGGTTGTAGACACAACACGCTTGCTTTCTGTAGGGGAATAGGGGGGCTCTCCCCGCGTCCAGGTGTCCTTGCTCATGTTCACGGAGGCCCGCAAGTCAGAACCGCAGTCTCACCTGTCGGCAGAATGCGCTGCGATCTACCCCAGCTACCCGAACTACCCAGCAATAAAATGGGACACTTTACGAAACATGAGATGGCATGGATAATCTCAAAAACATTATGCCGAGTGATGAAGAGGGCATCCTGTGTGGCGCCATCAAGGTGAATTTCTAGAACAGGTGAAACTAACCTATATAGTGACAGAAACTACATCATTGATTGCTGGGGTCGCGGGGGAGGCGGGACTGACTGCAAAGGGCACAAGAGGACTTTTTAGAGTAATAGACACGACATCAAACTTGAAATGGATGCGTTGTACCATAGTCAGCTCACACCTTAATCAACCTGGTTGTAAAAAAGAATAAGAAAACCACTCCAAATCTTAATATCTTCTACTCAATTTAGTGTATGTTTACCCTTAGAGGATTCCTTTAGAAAAATGTCTCTCTAACTGTGCTAGGGAGTTGAGGAATTCCGTCATTTCTGTTTCCGTCTCTTTGTCTGCAGTTAAGTTGATGCATTATTAAATGGAATATTGGTAAAATAAAAATAAAGTCTAAGCTCAATTTTATAAAAGCATACATATATGCTTATATTTATTTAAATAATTATATTTAATATATATTTATATATTTTTTAATATATATTTTTTATTATTTTGCAATTTTTTCAGGTATATATATCCTTCTTTATTATTTTTTCTTATTTTTTCTTTCATGGGGCCTGGGGGGGATAGTCTAGCTAAAATATACATTCTTTTCTCTGTAGATATACCACAATACCACGACTCCAGTGTTGCCCGAATGTTATGAGAAGTTATTTTTGAACTTTAGGTGATCAAGAATTTTACATATGTTTACATTTTCTCTACTGTTAGTACAGTCTATGCTTAGCATGTATACTTTTTTTTTTTTTAAAAGGCAATAGCTTAAAAATGATTTGGAAGAAAAATATATAGATATGTTAACAGTAGTTAATTCCAGGAGGTGTGAATATGGATGACCAGTTATTTTCCTCCTAATGAATTTTTATATTTTTAAATGGAAAATCCTCAATGACCTGGAAGTGAAAGAACAGATTAGATTTGGAAGGGGTGTGGGGCAGGTGAGAGGAAAATGTAAAGGGAAGGACAAACCCAGTTCTGGCAGGAATCATGTTTAAGTTGAAGGTTTCTGGGGAGAAGTTGTTGGGACAAGAAGGATATGAAGGAGGCAGGAGAATCACAAAAATATTTAGTACAGTGTATTGCCTGTCTTATCGTTCCTCCTCCTTTTGTGTTTCTTCAAAAGAAATACACAGATTTCTTTTCAAGCATGCTTACCATTTGTGTTTCTCTTTTATTAGTGTAACTGCCCAGTAGGTTTATCTTGCCTGTTGCCCAGATAAGCCAATGGAGCTGAGAACAGCAGGTTTTCTACAACAGAGAAAGAATTTAATAAATGCAGACACAGCTGAGGGACTAGGACAGGGGTTTATTATTACTCAAATCTGCCTCCCCCCAAATTCAGAGACTAGGGTTTTTTTGTTTTGTTTTGTTTTTTGTTTGTTTGTTTTTGTTTTTTGTTTTTTTAAGGATAGTTTGGCAGGCAGGGGGCTAGGAATGGGCAAAGCTGATTGGTTGGGTTGGGGATGGAAATCACAGGGTGTAAGAGCTTGTTTACTTGCACAGAGTCAGTCCCTGGATGGGGGCCACCAGACCAGATGAGCCAGTTTACTGGTCTGAGTGGCACCAGCTAGTCCATCATAAGGCAGAGTCTGAAAAATATCTTAAACACCAATCTTAGGTTTGACACTAATAATGTCATATAAAGGCACAGTTGGGGAGCTTAGGAATCACGTGACTTCTGGCTGTGTGGCTCCTGAGCCATAATTTCTAATCTCGTGCCTAATTTGTTAGCTTTGCTAAGGAGTTCTGATCCCCAAGATAGGAAGGGGTTTGTCTCAGGAAGGGGCAATCATCTTTGTTTCAGACTTAGACTTGGAACTAAACTCCTCTCACAGCCTGGCCTATGCCCAGGAATGGTCAAGGGCAGCTCAGAGGTTAGAAGCAAGATGCGGTCAGTCAGGTCAGATTTCTTTCACAGTCATAGTTTTCCTATGCCAGGTTTTTCTCATTGTCATAATTTTTGCAAGGGTGGTTTTGTTAGGAGCAGTAAAAACGCAGTGGTTCTGAGAATGTCCTCTGGAGCCAGGCTGCCTTCACTTCAAATTCCTGCTTTCAAATCCTCCTTTGCTGGCTGAGTGACCCTGGGCAGGTCACGTAACGTCTTTGTGCATCTCAGTTTTCTCATATGGAAGATGAAAGTGATGGTGTGACCTCTGCCTGAAGTAAGGAATAAATGAGTAAACATATGCACATCATCAACTGTGCGTGACATGTGGCACTTTGTGATTCAGGCACAGTTGATGATGTGCATATGTTACTCATGTGCATGTTAGCTCTTGTATTTTGCCTGCAACACTGCACAAAGAGCAGATGTGACAAAAACCATTTGTACTGAAGTTACAGCAGTGATACTTTACAGTGGCCGTGCACCCTCCCAGGGAGACTGCAGTAATCCTCTCACCAACAATAACCTCCTGGGCTGGGAGATCCCAGTCAGGCCCCTTAATCTCCGGCAGGTTTGACCCTCAAGGAGCTTCAGGGAATGAGCTAGAGAAGTATTTCTATCTGGGAGGAGATGGGAGTTTATTAGCTTATCTGTTCAGCTCATCCAGAGGGGAATAATGATTCAACTTCTTGCTTCGAATCTGCCCCAATAAAATTTTTATAGTTTTACAGTGGAAGACATTTCTACATGTAGGGGAGGAAATAGGACTTTTCCTCACCCAGCCTAGGTTCACTACAGAGACCCTTACAGCAAAAGACAGACTAACAAGAGAAGAGCATATGTATTTATTTAATGTAAGTCTTACATGACAGGAGCACCTTCCAAAGGAAATGAGGGCCCATGGAAACAGCTAAACCTCAGGGGTTTTTTTTTGTTTGTTTTTGTTTTTGTTTTTAACAGTAGTTTTATTGAAGAATGGATGGTCATGGAGAAGTATGATAAGACAATAAAACTATGATCTAACAGTAACAAACTGGGGAAAATGTAGCCAGGCCTGTGTTCAGGCTCTTCCTTGTCCCTGAGTCTTCAGACTCCAGAATGCACCTTTCCTCTGGGTACAGAGAGGACACCTCTCATGTAAGGGTCTTATAATTGACTTCAGGGAAGAAGGGCAGGGGGAGGGTGACAGTGACCTTCCTACTTCTATTGTTTATTCAAATTAATTAAACATAAAATATTCAGTACCCCAAGATGTTATATTTTGGAGTAGCATGTCCTGAACCCCATCATGCACATGCAACAAAACCCAGAATCTTTGAAGAGTGATGACTACAAAATATTTAAATTCAAAATATGATGGCCAAGTAGGGTGGCTGACGGCTGTAATCCCAGCAGGGAGGAGCAGGAAGGCCCAGGAAGGCAGATCACTTGAGTCCAGGCATTCAAGAGCTGCCTGGCCAATATGGCAAAACCCTGTCTCTACTGAAAATACAAAAATGAGCCCAGCATGTGGTGCACACCTGTTGTTCCAACTACTTTTAGCTGATGGGGAACAGGTGGACTGAGGATCAACTGAAACAATATTATATTTACAAATAATTTTTTTTCCTGTAAGGCTAGTCAAGTGAATCAGTGGAAGTGGAGAAGGGATAAAGAAACCTGTAACTGGTTGTGATCAATTATTTGTAAACAGGAATGAATTTTTATGCACTATACACTGTTGTCAAATTTACATATGCTGCAAAGCTGGTGGTGAACAGCAGAGCCCTGGTCCCTTCCTACACTTACCTCTAGGGATAACAAGTTTTAATGCATGCAGCCAAACTCTACATAAATACTGTTAGGCTTTGTCCCATTTTCCATCCCAGGCCCTACAGTCCAGCCTGCAAGGGGAAACGGAGTTTGTGTGTTTTCTTGCCTGCCAGTCCACTCCAAGGACCAAGAAGATGTCCTCTCCCACCCCCTCGTCCTCCAAACGGAGACCCTCAAAGACTGTGGTGTTTTTCAGTCCTTCATAAATGCCCTCAGCCCCAAAATATGAAAATCAGAGGGATGGTCCTGAGTGCCTGGAGCGACATCTTAGTTCATTCCCAAGACCCATCAGGAGCCTTATCCCAAGTGCTCTGAAGAGCAGGAGAGAACGTTTTTTAACTGTGGTAGCGCCCTAAGGCAAGACTTTGGGGCAGGGTCCTGACAGGACGACGGGGAGCCCCACCGTCAGAGACTCGCCCCTCAGAGCTGCTCAGGTTCCTCTTTCCCGTGGCCCTGAGGGAGCTTGGCCGGGGCGACCGAGGATCAGAACCCGCTCTCCCAGCCCGCGCGCTGGAAGAGGCCGCCGCGCAGATTTCTCTTTCCGGCTGAGATCCTGGGAGGAAAGAATAGATCCCCTGGAGTCAGGTTCCAAAGCTTAGTGAAACAGCGACTTCTAGGGCCCGCAATGGAAACGTA